ACACATAAATTACTAAAATTCTGTAGCACACTGAAAAATACATTATATTTTTTTGCTGATCTGACAAAAAATAGGTATAATTTTGATTCATTAACACTGGATGACTATTATGTTGGCTCTTGTAATTTTTTAATTTGACAATCTAAGAGGAAAGAGGTCAGTTACCCCTGACTAAAAGTATTATTGTTTTACATACAGGTATTGAATTTTAAAAAATTTAAAGTTTAAAAAATTCCATGGCCCGCTGATCGCTGTTCTAGACCAATCTTTTGTAAATAAAGAAACTGAGGCACAGAGAGGAGACATGACCTCACCAAGCATGTAATGGGCAGATCTGGGCCTAGAGACAAGGTGCCCTGACCCCCGGGGCCTGACTCGCTGCCCAAGTCCCTACTTCCTTCATGTTTCTTTGGACTCCCAGCTCAGAGTCTCTAGTGGGCCCAGCACTGGGGCCCCGCGGCTGGGCTGGTCCCAGGGGATGTTTATGACTGAGCAGAGCTCCAGATGCTGCACATTCTTCAAAGGGTCAGACCTGGCCCCAGGCACTCAGGGAATTAGCTTCTCTGAAGAGCCCCAGATCTTCTTTCCGGAGCTGCTTTCTTCCTGGCCAGCCCCGGAGAGCTGGCTGATCCCAGGAGTGCCGTCCGAGCTCTCCCATCGCTTTGGGTGAGAGGCTCAGAGGCTGCCTGGGTGCCCTGTTGGCTCAGAGGTACTTCTGGGCAAGGAGAGGGAGAAGTGGGGCAGGAAATTGTACCCTTTGCATCTCCCTAGGTTTACACGTCCAGCGTGAGGGGCATCTGGGAGCAGGGCTTCTGCCACATTTGGCGGGAAACGGACTTGCCTTCACCTGCGGTGCTGGGTGGGGGATGGGGGTGGATGGAAAAGAGCAGAGAGCGGGGCATCCTGGGGTGGGGATAGGGAGGTGAGAGGCCTGGGGAGGGGGCGCCCTGACCCGCCGGCTGCTGGGAGGCGGAGGGGGATGGGAGTTGGGGGAGAAGAGGGGGGCCGGGCAGCCAATGGGAGGGAGGATCTCGTTTCAAAAGGGTTAACCCACAGCCAATGGGAGCCTGGGGGAGCGGATCCTGCTCACTCCATTCAAGAATCCCAAGTATTCAAGATGGACGGCAGGGAGTGTGGAAGGAGAAAGGGGGCACGGGAGGAAGAGCCGGACCGCCGAGGAGAGGGCGCAGCGCCGGGCCGCCCGGGCCCTCGCTCCCGGGATGGCGGGCGGAGGGAGGCGCGGCCGCGGGGCGGGGATGGAGCCGGGGCCGGCGGGGCCGAGAGGGCGTGAGAGAGGGGGAGCGCGGCCGGGGAGGGGAGCCGGGAGGGAGGGAGGGCAGAGAAAGAGCCCGGGAAGAAGGAGGTGGCAGGCAGAGGAGGACCGTCACGAAGAGCCATGTGTAGGTATCTATCGGCAGCTCCCAGAAGGGTAACGCCACGGGCTTTCGGGTTCCTTCTCCGCTGGGGAGGAGGGCAGGGGAGGGGAGGGGAGGGGTGGGCTCTTTCTCCCTTCCCTCTCCCCTCCTTCTCCTCCGCTCATCAGCTCCTCTGTCTTCGCCTCTCCTACCAGCAACTCCTAACTGGGAGGCACTGGGCGCGCCTGGCCGGGGCGGCCTCGCTGTCACTTTGCAGCGGGGGGTGTGGTGTGGTGGGGTGGGGGGCTCCGCGGGGCAGGGCTGCGGCCGGGCCATCTGTCCGCCCGCCCGGGTGTGTGAGGGTGAGGGGCAGGGTGCCGGGCCTCGGCGGGTGGGTTGGGAGGGGAGCACCGTGGCCACAAGGCTGGAGCAGGGCAGGGAGTTGTGCATCTTAAGAAGTTGGACGGAGCTAAGGGACTGAGTGTGTGTGTGTGTGTGTGTGTGTGTGTGTGTGTGTGTGTGGTGGGAGGGTGAGGCCCACCCCTGAGCTGAGAGTTGTGGGGTGTTTGGGGGTGCGGGAGGCCGGGAGCAGGGTTCGGGGTGAGTGTGTAGGAAGGGCTGAGTTGTGCAGCAACTGCGAGAGGTGTGTGTGTGTGTGTGTGTGTGTGTGTGTGTGTGTGTGCACGCGTGTGGTCCAGCCTCGAGGTGTGTGGGTGGGGTGGCACAGTAGGGTGTTGAGGGAGAGCGCCCCTCACCCCTTTCTTCTCCCCCCCCCCGCCCCCTACCCTTCTCATCCCATTCACAGAACATGGCTTTCAGGACCCTCCTGGCCTCCTCCTCCTCCTCCTGTCGCCATGGCTGCGGGGAGGGGGTGGGAGGAGACAGTTGGGGCCAGCCGCTGCCCCCGCTGCTCTGGCTCACCCTCGCCGGCCCTTTCTCTCCCTTCCACAGGCTGGGCCCCATCCCCTGCTGCTCTGGGGGGCAGGGGCCGGAAGATGGTGGCCAATGAGGAGGGGGAGCAGAGAGAACTTGAGCCGGGCCTCCCCTCCCCCATTTCCTCCTCGGTCTCTACACCCGCCTCTGGAAGGAGCTGGGGGATGGCTCCTGGGCCCGAGGTGGGGGAGGGGCCCTGCTGGCTGGTGAGTTGCAGGGAATCCCGCTCTGGAATGAGTTGGGTGTGAGAGCCGAGGGGGATCTTGGCCCAGCCCCCTCCCTCCTCCCCCCCCCCCCCACTCTCCCTTCTCTTCCCTAGGAGGGCTCCTTAGTGAAGAATCTTCTTCTGGCCTCCCTAAAGCTGGCTGGGCAGTCCTGTCTCTGCCCCTCTGCCCTCTTGTTGACATGATCCAGTTCCCAGCTGGGACTGGTTTGCCCAACCCGGGAGCAGAGAGGCCTGGTGACTGACCCTAGCGGGGCCTTAGTTTCCGTCCATTAGAACTGTGCAAACGACGGGACAGGGCCCATGTTTGCAGATTACAGGAACAAACTCTGCCTGGGAAGGCGGGAGAGTCTCCTGCTTCCTGAGTTGAGGGTGGGAGAAGGCTGGAGGGGAAGCCCAGAGGAAGAGCTCCCCACTGGATTTTCTGTCCTCCATTCCCTCCCGTTGGCCGTGGGGGGGGGGGGGGCATCAGCATAGTCCAAAGGCCTTCGCTGGTCTGTACCCCCGAGGAACCTCTGCCCCCCTGGGCAGGCCACAGTTCACCAGCTGGGCTTCTGGGGCCGCAAGCTCCAGCCAGGAGCGTGTCCCGCTAGAGCTCTGAGCCTTTGGCTCCCCGGGTCCAGTCTTTGAGCTTTGGGTTTTACTCAGTCTCAGGGTTGTTTACCCGGAGTTTAAGCCCCCTCCCTTAGAGTAGGATGGGGAAGTCCTAGGTGAGCTTGAAGACTTCCTAATGGGGGTCCCTGGATAAGACAGGAAGCACCCCAGATTCGAATCCCACTGCCAGGAAAGCCTATCCCTACCACTCAGTATAAGAGACGGAATCGCCCTCGCCATTTTGATTCTTTGTTGAATCCCTTAAAGTGGATTTTGAAGACCTCAGAGAAGATACAGGGCCATGGCATCACTCAGCTTCCGCCTCCAGACCTGGAAGCTTATCTGTGCTGCCTGGGGACTTGTGACTAGTCCCTCACCCTCTGGTCCTGGAGCTTCAGCCAAGATGTCTCCTTGAGGCCTAAGGAACCCCCACCACCCCCCCATCTAAAAAGGAGAGAGAGCTTTAAAGTAGGGAAGAATAGAGGGCTCTGGTCCTGGTGGGCACGCTTCTCTCCGGAAGAGAAGCTGACAGAGATACAAACCCAGATAATGTGGGTGTCCCCAAAAGTTTTGGGATTTCCACCAGTCTCTTCCTGCGAAGACGAGAGTCAAGCCCAAGGTATGCCTTCTTGCCCCCTGTTCCCCGTGCCAAAACTCAAGAAAAAGGTGGTCGCAGTGCTGGGCCAGCGAGAGGAAGAAGGCAAGGAGTGGAGAGAAAATAGAGGATTAGCTCTGGGAATAGAGGATTAGGGAGGGAGGCTGAGTGGGCCGGGGCCTGGGAGAGGGGTGAGGAGGCAGGGTCGGCTCGCCTCTGCTGCAGGCCGGAGCTCTTTTCACATTGTGCTACTGTCTGCACCTACCACTAGCAGTGCAATGTTAAAAGGGCATTGGCCGTGCAGTGCTGCCAGCGCCGGCTGCCTCCTCAGCATCAAGACTTCCTCTCCCATCTGGGCACCAATCAGCTACCCTAGTGGGAATTTGGGAAGCCTCTCTGTCACAGGCGAATAGCTCAAATTTATGGAAGGACTTATGCATACAGTCTGTGTGCTGGGCCCTTATGTGATGATGTGCAAGTCATACCCATTTCACAGATGGAGAAACTGAGCCAGACGGTTGGAGCAGTATGGCCAAGGGTATAGAACTCTTAAAATTGCAGAGCCTGGACATGACCTTGTCCAGAATCTGACAATTCACCTATCTTTTTGTAGAACCATCTGAAGAGGTTTGGGCAGGTTCTCCACTGAGCTGCAGGGTGGGAGGTTTGAATGCCACCTGCTGGTTGTGTGAGGGTATCTCCCAAAGTCTGAAGCCTTGAAGGATAAAAGTGGTGGCTTGGTGGCTAAGGAGGTCTCAGGCTTGGCTGGGGATTGGAGGGTGGTGAATGGAGACGATTGGCAGAATCCCCGTTATGACCAGAGTAGACCTCTATGGGAAAAGCGAATGCACAGGAAAGATAAAAGGGCTAACTTGAAAACACTGCTCCCCAGGGATGAGGACAATGCCTGTGGCTTTTTCTCGGGGTCGTGGCTGTAGAAAGGAGAGCTCACATCACCCTGTAATTCCCAGCATGACCCCTCTTGGTCATGGGTGTTGGATAATGATTTTTTAAAAATATATCTTATTGATTTGTACAGAGAGGAAGGGAGAGAGATAGAGAGTTAGAAACATCGATGAGAGAGTCATCGATCAGCTGCCTCTTGCACACCCCCTACTGGGGATATGCCCGCAACCAAGGTACATGCCCCTGACCGGAATTGAACCCGGGACCCTTCAGTCCCCAAGCCGACGCTCTATCCATTGAGCCAAACCGGTCTCGGCTGATAATGATTCTTGAGGGTATACTTGTCTGAACCTCCAAGATTTAGACCACATTGCCCACAGCCTGATCTTAGAGACTAAAACAGGATCCCTGGGCTGGGCCCACAGAAGGTTCCTTCCAGGAAAGATTGCAGGCGCTTGAAAGCTACAACTATGCCATTTACTCCTTTGCTTCCCACGGTGCCTAGTTGGCTTAGTAAGAACTTTAAAAGTAAGTTGAGTGACAGGCATATTGCGGGGAGCCTTAAGAAGGCAGCCAGTTTGTGCCCGATTTTCAAGGTCAGAGATTGAAGCTTCAGAAACCTTCCTAAACTTTGCTGCAAGAAATGGACCGAGAGGGACAGGGTTCTGGGTCCCTTGCTGGAGCCCAGAGGATCTCTAGACATCACCAGGCATGCAGACACTGAAAAGGGGGGCAGACCCCCCTTCCAAGACCTCCGATGGGGATGCATTTGCTTTCTTGCACCTGACTTCCAGTTCTCTTCTGTTCTGCCCAGACAGCTCCATTCTGACATCTGACAGTATTGGAGATGCTACACAGTTCATGACCCATACTCTCTTCAGTCTATTAATGGTTCTGCTTAAGTGTCTTCTCTGGGCACACACACACAAAGAAAGTCAGAGGACAGCACTTCATTTGGCGAATGCCACTCCACTTTTGTGAAGAAACAAGAACTTTTCAGTGTTTCCTCAATGCCCCTGGGATGAAATCTTGATTCCCTAAATGGTCTATGACTGCTGCCTGTCTATCCCGTGTCCTCTCCTCTCTCACCCATTTGCACCTACACTCCACGTATGGGAAACATTTCCTCCTCCAATTGGCTAAGTAAGAGCCACTGACGCAGTTCTCTCTGCCTGAACTATTCCTCCACCTCCCACTCTTCTCTTCACCCACCCAGCTTCTCATCCTGCATTTGTCATCACAGTCATCACTTCCGCTAAGCCTGCCTTGACTTTTCAGATTCTGACTAAGCCTCTCCTGCATGCTCCCAAGGTTGCTTCCCACCCCTGTTCAGATCCTGTCACCTATTGGAATTGCCTCATGACCGTTTGTCCTCCCACTAGACCACCATGAAGTCAGGCCATACTGCCTTGCTCTTCACTTGGCATCTCCTGTGGTTAACACCATGCCTGAAAAGCAGTAGTCGCTTTGCAAATATTTGCAGTATCCGTGAGTGAATCTGGAAATCACAAGCCAGCTTGTTATTCGGTTTTTATAAGTGTGTACAGCCCTCTGCAGTTGTCAGTGACCCAACAACAATAGCAACCTCGCATCACTGCCAAAAATTGCGCTTGGGTCACATGATTGCGTTGACGCTGCAATTTTGAACCCTTTTGTTCCTCTCTGTATCACTTGCCAGGGCAGCACCTTGGCTGGTCGACTTCCCTCTTTGCCTTAGGTATGGCCGTGGGCTGACCAAAATATGACAGGATCAGGCGCAAAGGCAATGAATGGGACCCAAGAACACCCTAGCTCCGGGATGAGTTTCTTCCAGATGCCCAATCATGAATCCAGGTAAAATTGGATTCATCATTAAGGGCTCCTCCGGTAGACTCAAACTGTTTGGGATGCTCCAAATGGAAGGACTCCCAAAGGCCATCCCTCTTACTAAACAAAACCTCACTTGAATGCCTATCCTTTCTAAAAAACTCCAGTGGGGTTTTGCCACAGACAAAGCAACTGCTGCCCCCTAGCGGCATGAAGGAACGGTGGTGGGGAGGTGACTGGTTACTTGCACAAGAGAAGGAAAGTCAGAGGACAGCACTTCATAGCTGCTTTTCCTCTTTTTATTAAAAATAAACCCAAACACTTTTAAGTCTCATACAAAAGTTTCATTCGCTGGTGGCAGCCACGAGAACGCCTGGCCCCGTAGCACTGGTGTCCCACCTCCCCTCCCAGGAATCAGAGCTGGGCCTCAGGGAATGCCCGGAGAGACCACTCGCTCCGGAAACAGCCAGCTGGGGGTGGGGGCTGCTCCAGAGGCAGCTCTCCCCATCCCACTAAGTGGCAAAGGTTAGATACTGGAAAGTGCCTCTTTAGTGCCAAGATAAACAAGTGGAGTGAAATGGAAACCCCTGTGATTCCTTTATCTCCCAGGGCATGGGACTTGAGGATTTTCCTGTCACCCCCAGAGACTGGTTTCTCCTTGTGTATGAGGCCCAAACCTCACCCCAACCCTGATATTCTGTGGCCCTGGATATACCAGCCCCTGCCTCAAGCTTTGGCCTCTGTTTTCCTCGAAAAGGTGGAGCAAAAGCAGATTCCTCCTACTGGCCTCTGCCTAACGCACGGCCTGCCATCTCCTCCATGTAAGGGACCTCAGGCCTAGGAGGAACCCACAACCACCCCTTTTCCCCGTTGTGCCTCTCTCCTGACTGCTGCCCACTCCTGAGCCTTGGACACCCCTGAAGCCCCCCAGACCCCTGTTCCAGAGAGGCCTGGGAGTGATGAGGTGGAGGCGGGAGGGGTTGGTGGGAGCCGGGGTCCCCCCAGGGCTGGAGCAGTACTCATGCTGGTACGGACTGCTTGTCAGGGCCAGGAGACAGGTGTGGGAGGGTGGGGCTCATGCGGAGGAAGGGCACTGCCTGCCTGAGCCCCTCAGTCCCAGCCGTTGTCCTTCACCATGTGTGACATTTCAATGATGTATTTTCCCTCCTTGTACTTCTGGCTCGTCTCAAAGGCTTGCTCCTGGTGGGGAGGGAGTGGTGAATGTGGGACCACGCAGTCCCCGCCAGGTCCTCCTACCTCCTGTATTACCCCTGCCCTGATAGTCCCCCCTCCCTCACCCAGTCCACCCCACGGGGGCTTGGAGGCCATGGAGACTGTCCATTTTGGAGGGTGCCCCCCCCCCCGTACTTACATATTTCCAGCCCAGTGTGGTTTTGCAGCTCTCACAGAAAATATCAGCTACCGAGTGGAGCCCCGTGAGCAGAAGGCGCTGTTCTGCCGGCCCACAACCCACGTTGACCCTGTCTCAAGAAACAGGAGGGACCCAGCACCCAGTGGGGTCGCTCTGTCAGTCCAGCCCCCAAACAGCCCAAAGGGACTTCCATCTGGAGAGCTTAACCCGCCCAACTGGGAGCACCCCTGCCTTCAGCGACAGGCCCCTTTAGGACCAGTGCCTGGGCTTTCTTCCAACGGGGAATTCCAGTTCTGCCCAGGCTCCCCACAGGAGAACTGCAGCCTGAGTTTCTGAACCCCTTCGCGAGAGGGGACGCAAAGCAGAGTTGCGAGGCCATCTTCTGGTGGCTCACCTTTGTCCACAGAGGGACATTAAGCACACGCGCGCACGCACGCGCGCGCGCACATACACACACACACACACAAAGAGAGAGGTGGACTCACACGGAGTTAAACAGGTAGGCTCGGCCATGGCTCCCTTGGAAGGACTGTGGAGACACGGGACAGGCAGTGACTGCGGGGTGGCCCTTGACCCCCCTGCTTGAATCCCCAGGGGCATGGAGGAGGAGGAAGGGCAGGCTGGCGGGGGACAGGCGGTGGGGGAGTGGCAGGCCCCCACATAGCGTACCTTGGAGATAAGCTCATCATGTTTGGCCAGGTGTGCTCGGCAGTGGACGCAGCTGTAGGTGCGGTGGCAACGGGGCAGGTAGCTGCGGAACGTCTTGGCGGGGAGGCAGGCAGGGCCCGGGCCCGGGTCACAGCTGGGCATGACGGGCTGCAGGACAATGCCCTGGCGGGCTGGAGGGGCCGGCGCTGTGCAGCCCCCACACAGGCGGTCGCAGGTGAAGCAGCGGAGCAGGTTGGCTAGAGCCGTGTTTCAGGGCAGGAGAAATGTGGGGGGGCTGCCCGGCCAGGGCCCCCCCCAGACAGGAACCAGATAGAAATAGAAGTCACCTGGCAAGAGGGGAAGGTGCATCATCAGGAGAGCTGTGACCTCATGGAGAGCCCCTCGCGAGGGAATGGCCAACCCGGAGCCCCTCCCGCCCCTGCCCTGCGGGCCCCATCGCCATCAATTCAGCGTCTGAGCGAGCCTCGCTTTTCCCCTGGATTCCCATCTGCTCCGGCAAGCCTGGCAGGGCAAGCCTGGCAGCCGTTCCAGGCCGCAGGTGCCCTGGCTGGGGAGGCGCTGTCTCACCCCCGCCCCCGGGGGCGGGAGCAGCCTCCAGCAGCATCTCCATGGGGAGCAGCCGCTGGTCCACGCTGCCATGGGAGCCACGCAATCTGCAGCGCTCTCCTGGATTTCGGTCCTCGGTGACGATCTGCCTCCCGCATGCTCTGATAGGCTCAGGGGCTCTAAGCCTCTTAGCACCGGGGTAGCCTGGCAGTGTTTCTATCTCATCGCCTCTACAATTGGTCCTCCAGACGTTTTGTGTGGGAGGAGGAGGGGAAGATGAAAGGGAGAGCAGGCCAGGCCAGCAGATGCGCACGCCGGGATTCATCCCTCTCCTGGGTGTCTCCTTCTCTACCAGACACCTTGGAAGTGGCCGCTGTTGCCTGGTCCTGCCCCTTGGTCCACTCGGTGCGGCTCAGCAGCAGTGCCTGGCTGTCTTCTCAGCCACTGAGCCCCGGGGTCTCTTCCTACTGCTCTTTACGATGGCCTTAGCCCTCCATTCAGGATGCAGGCCCCTAGCTGTAGGAGAGGAATGCTGCTTCAGGCAAACCTGGCCGCTGGAATCGCTGGAAAACGGGCCCCCTGGCAAGAAGGGCAGCACTCCTCCGGGGCTGAGCAGGGCTGGGGGTGTAGTGTATGGACAACATCTTCCAGGAGGAGCGGCAAGAGGGAGACTCGAATATTCAACTGCTGTGCTTTGGGGCACGAGGCAGAGAATGTTTCCACCATTGGCTGGGGGCAGGGGCAAACAGCAGTGCCCCTGTGGGTGGCAGAAGATATATGTGCCGGGTTCTGATTAGGAGTCTTGAGGAAGATGTTGACATCTGTCCAGACTCCAGCCCGTGCAGCTGAGGGGGCTGGAGGCAGAGGATAAGAAGGGAGGTGGCCTCTGGTGGCTCCGATAAGCAGGTGAGATGCTGCCTCCTCCTTCCTGGGGCCTTCAGGGCCGGGGTGGGTGGGTTACCCCAAGTCCGATTCCGAGGTGCCCGCTGGGTGCTCTCTGGCAACGGCAGGCCCTGAGGCAGAGCAAAGGCAGCGTGGCTCCGGGGAGCCAGGGCACACAGGCTGTCCTCCTGTCCTCTGCAGGAGCGGCTGCTGCCCAGCTGCTCCAGTCCTTTCTGGGGCCTGCAGTCTCTCCATAAAACCCCGGACAGAGACCATCTTCCAGTTTTGCGTCCTGTCCCCGTGGCCAGGCCCCAGGAAGACACTGTGGGCTGAATTCAGGGTGACATTGGGCTCTGGTCGCAAGAAACAGGCTCTCCTCAACCAGCACAAACCGGTCAGCATCCACTTCACAGGTCTGCCTCCAACTTCGCCTGCGGTGGCCCTCTGCCGCTCCACCTAGCACACCTTCCGGGGCCCGCGAAGGGGCTGGCCAGGTCCCTGCTCAGCCTCCTTCCCCCGGCGGCCTCCGTCACGCCTCCCACCCGCTCTGTCCCCTGCTTCCCCATCAAGCAAAGCAGAGGCGGCACAGGCCAGAGACTCACTCACAGGAGGGGCGGTAGGGGTCATATCTTCTCCATCTCAGATCACAGAGAAAAGCAAGTTGGGCAAATGACAGGGAAAAACAAAGACAAGCTGGGTGCTGGGGAGAGGATGGTCCCCGAGAGCCGGAGCTGGACCGTGGGAGGCAGGGGAGAGGGAGGGGAGGGTTGGGGAGGGCGTGCTGCTGAGCAACCATCACCGGCAGCAGAGGCCCCAAAGCAGAGGCTCCGGGAACCAGGTGCGAATCCTGTGCCTCTCAGGGGGGGAAATGGAGGGGGCCACACGCTCACAATGGATTTTCTCATCTGCTCTGAGGCTTCGGCCCCCTCTGGGCTGGCATTCTCGCATGGTATGGTCCAACACCATTAGCGGCGCAGCCAGCTCCCAGGGCAGGCTTGGGAAGAGGGGCGGGGGGTGGGGGTCTGCAACAGCCACAAAACAATCAACAGCGATGCCTGATGCTGCAGCCAAAGTTGCTGGGAAATAAGTGCGGAACCGTCAGAGCTCGGCGAGGGATGGAGGAGCCGAGGAGCGGAGGCAGCAGGGAGGGGGAAGGGAGGACAAAGGATGGATGAATAATGCTTTTGCAAAGGGGAGAAAGCAACACGCAGCAGGAGGAGGAAATTTGCAAAGGGGAGGAAAACATTTGGAGAAGGGCTGCCCCCTCACCTTGAGGTCTGCTCCAGAGATCTCCGTCTACCTCTCTCTCTCTCTATCTCTCTGCTCACTCTTCTCTCTTCTCTGTCCGCTCCTTCAATTAGGAAGGGAGATGGGGGGGGAGGGGGAGGGGATTCAGGGTCTAGAGACTGGGGCTGCAGAGCTGGCCAGCTGCTGGGGGGCCAGAGGTTGTCTCCCGTCTGTCCCTCAGTCTGTGGGTGAATGTAGCTGTGTGTTGTGGAACTGCATCATAACACTGTGAGTCATCCATCCCCCCACCCCCCTCACCTCCCACGTCAGAGAAGGGCTGGGAGACACAGGAGGCGGGTCGGGAGGGAGAAGGCAGGCATCCAGAGAAAGGGTTGGGGTGGGGGGTGGGGGGAGGAGGTGAGGCAGGGGTGGGAACAGAAAGCCAGGACAGGAGGGGTGCGAAAGAGGAAAGGCTGGTTGCTGAGGAGGAAGACAGTGTGGTCAAGGAGAGAGGACCTTGTGGAAGGACAGGACTGGACAAGGATGGAGCACTGGTGGCAGGGCTGGAGGAGAGGAGGTGGTGAGGCAGGGGGCTGTGAGAGATGGATGCAGAGAGTCAGGCTCCTGTGCACACGGTTAAGATGACATTTCCCATTTCAGCCCGGATCCCAGTCTGACACAGAGAGAAGACATACTGGTGGTCCCATACAGCCAATTGTGCCCCCAAGCTCGTGCCAGGCACTTCCCAGCCTCAAAGCCTCAGCTTAAGACCCCCCCGCCCCCCAAAGGAGTCACCGACCCAATAGGACATCTTACATACAGGAACCTGTGAGCCACCTCCAAATTCCTTGTGCCTCACGAATGGAGACACCTACATTACAGAAGGTTCCCCCCACCTGGACGGTAGACTGTCTGAGGCAGGGGTTCTAGGCCAGGGGACGCCAACCGGTGGTCCACGGATCAATGGTGGTCCATGAGGTCTGAAAGGTTGGCAGCCGCTGGCCTAGACCACAAGCCAGGAAGTGAGGAAATTTAGCAAAACCCCTTTAGACACAGGGAAACCGAGTGGTAGGGAAAGTGAGGAACGCAGCCTGTCAAGAGACGCACCTAGGCTGTCATCCCCTACTTGACACAGTGGTTGGCACCTAGAGGACATTAAAATTGTGTTTAATAAAAACAAAAACCCAGCCCTAGCTGGTTTGGCTCAATGGAGGGGGCGTCAGACTATGGACTGAAAAGTCCCAGGTTTGATTTCTGTCAAGGGCACATGCGCAGGTTGCTGGTTCGATCCCCCATGGGGGGCAATGCAGGAGGCAGCTGATCATGATTCTCTCTCATTGTTGATGTTTCTTTCTCCCTCTCCCTTCCTCCCTGAAATAAATAAATATATTTTTTAAAAATCCAAGAATTTCTTCCGGGTATTCTGAAAATCAGTCTCTACCCAACCACCTCTCTCCTATTGGGCTGTGAGTTTTACTGGGGTCTCTTTCCCTCCTTGAATCCCAGACAGTTACACAATGTCAATCATTTACCCTGCAGGCAACAGGTCGGGCCACGTCTATAAGCCTATTGTCATGAGCTTGGAATCTTGTATTTATTTTTTAATATATTTTATTGATTTTGTACAGAGAGGAAGGGAGAGAGATGGAGAGTTAGAAACATTGATGAGAGAGAGTCATCAATCAGCTGCCCCTTGCACACCCCCTACTGGGGATATGCCCGCAACCAAGGTACATGCCCTTGACCGGAATTGAACCCGGGACCCTTCAGTCCCTAAATCGACCCTCTATCCATTGAGCAAAACTGGTCCTGGCTTGTATATTTTTTTGCTATGACATTTGCTCATGGTGTGATTTTGAGCAAATGACAGGTTTACACTTTCTGAGACCCAGTTTCTTGTCTGTAAAATAGGGGTAATAACAGTAACCATCCTCTTAAAAGTTGTTCTGAAGATTGAATGGGATGATACACATAAAGTACTAAGCATGATGCCTATAACAAGAAAGCATCTGATGTTAGCTTTTAAGTTTTTATTGCAGTTTGAGGAGGGGAAGCTATGATAATGCCATCCATTTATACAGTGGCTTACAATTTTTCAAAGCCCTTTCAGGTATCTTCTTTCATAGACACTCTGTACAGTCAGTTTTATTACTTCCAGAGGAAGGAGGAGAGATAAGTGGAGGAACTTGCCTAAGCTAGGACTCAAACCCAGGATTTTGGAAACTGAGTCCAGTTATTATAACATCAGCAAACACCTAAGTAGTGCCAAGGACTGTCCTCTAGGCTTTACAGGTGTAAATTCACTTAGTCCTCACTGTCATTGTCATCCTCACTTTACAGATGAGGACTTTTTTCAGTCTACCTCACATGGTTAATTTCCTGCTGGGCCTACCTTAACACTCATTTTCTTAGGATGCCATCCTCACTTCTCAGTTTTTTCTCTGATGGTTTGCTTGAATTATTTCATTCATTCACCATGCATGCATGAGTTCCTCAATGAACTATTAGGTATCGCCTAATCTTTCACCATTCTTCAAAAATTCAATTCCAGCCGAAGCCGGTTTGGCTCAGTGGTAGAGCGTCGGTCTGCGGACTGAAAGGTCCCGGGTTCGATTCCGGTCAGGGGCATGTACGATGGCTGCGGGCACATCCCCAGTAGGGGGTGTGCAAGAGGCAGCTGGTCGATGTTTCTCTCTCATCGACGTTTCTAGCTCTCTCTCTCTCTCCCTACTCTCTGTAAAATATCAATAAAATATATTTTAAAAAAAAAATTCAATTCCAGTCTTCCATTCGCATATGTTCTCTCCAAGTGAGCTCATGCTGTCCTGCTTCTCTACAGTGTATCTCCTAAATCTGTTTCTTCGCCTCCACACCCTTTCTCTTGAGGCAAATTCTCTGAAGGTCGTCTTTATTTGGATGCTGTACAGCTACCTCAAACTGAATTTAGGGAAGAGCACGCACCCCACCCCCTTTAGACTGCTCTTCATTCTGCTGCTTAAACACAGTCAGGGCACAACATTTAGAGCATCTGTGCTTGCCTACACTCACTTTTCTCACCAAGCCCTCCTGTCATCTCCACTCCCGCCCCCAAATAGCACTGTCCTAATGGTCTTTTTCAATCTCCTCTCCAGCTAAATCCTTGATTATTATTTTCCTGAGTTAAATTGATAACCTATTTTGCTTCCAAACTTTCAATCCTTACCCCCCACTTCCCATTGTTTTCCTCAAAAATGGTTCCTCATATTCCTCCAGCACTTTCATTTCCTTTCTGGTCTGCTGTGTAGATAAGAACACTTCCTCCATCTCCTCCCCCTCCCTCTCTTCTCCTTTTTGTTCCCCCCTTTGTCCCCTTCCCTCCCCCCCCCCCAATTCTCCCTCTCAATATCAAACTTCTGGTACTCTCACTCAAGGTACCAGAGAGTGCTATCACTCAAAACACATTGTTTTCAGAATTTATCTTAAACCCCAGAATCCTGTGGAGTTCCTTTCTTCATACCCAGCTAGCAACGTCTCCCATTACATTTCTCTAACTTAAGGTTTCCCCTCCTTACACGTGAAAAGAAAAACAAACCATCCACAGGCAATCCTATGTGTAAGTCCCTAACTTTATGATACTTCATGTTCGTATGTTAGCCTGATAGAAATTAGGACATGCTCTTTTTTTAAAAAATGTTTTGATTTTTTACAGAGAGGAAGGTAGAGGGATAGAGAGTTAAAAAACATCGGTGAGAGAGAAACATCGATCAGCTGCCTCCCACACACCCCCCACTGGGGATGTGCCTGCAACCAAGGCACATGCTCTTAACCCGAATTGAACCTGGGACCCTTCAGTCCGAAGGCCAACACTCTATCCACTGAGCCAAACCGGTTTCGGCAGGACATGTTCTGTGACTACACACTTTAGTGATGCGCACAGGGCAGCATTCCAAGAGAAATATTGAGTCAAAATGAAGTATAATTGGAATCTGATAGAAAAATAACACTGAAAGAGATAAGATCTTTTTTAAAAAATATATATTTTATTGATTTTTTACAATGAGGAAGGGAGAGGGATAAAGAGTCAGAAATATTGATGAGAGAGAAACATTAGTCAGCTGCCTCCTGCACACCTACTACTGGGGATGTGCCCGCAACCAAGGTACATGCCCTTGACCAATTCGAACCTGGGACCTTTCAGTTCGAAGGCTGACGCTCCATCCACTGAGCCAAACCTGTCAGAGAGAGAGAAGTTCTTAAGACACAAATTTAGCTCGTGTCTCTTGAGATAGAACTTTTATAATAAACCCTCTTTAGGTTTCAGGGTATGAAGTTGAGAACAGTGTTTTGAAATAACAGCAACTACTGTTCTCTAAGTGCCAGTTAGGGGTTGGGCAGTTTGTTTCACATCGGGAAATTGTCCAGTGGTTGCTGCTGAGTATATTGGCAGGTCTGGAATTCCAATTCAGGCCAGACACCTGGACCCTGTCTAAAGGTGCAACTCAGGCAAAACCGGTTTGGCTCAGTGGATAGAGCCTCGGCCTGCGGACTGAGAGGTCCCAGGTTCGATTCTGGTCAAGGACATGTACAATATGTACCTTGGTTGCCAGCACATCCCCAGTAGGGGTTGTGCAAGAGGCAGCTGATTGATGTTTCTCTCTCATCGATGTTTCTAACTCTCTATCCCTCTCCCTTACAAAATAGATAAATAAATAAATAAAGGTGCAACTCAGCTGCTGACTTGGGAGCATCATCTCTTTGCTAGGCATTGCTGTCCTGAAAGGCAGAGAAAAGTTGCCTCCCTGGGAGGCTATCGTGGGACCTAGACAGTGACCGCCCTTCCCCTTCCCAGGCAGCGGATGAGCGAGAACCGGGTGGTGAGGTCCCCCCCCCACCCCCCTACACTCTGGCAACCCTTGGCCCCTCGGCGGGTCAGGACCGTGCGAAGGCGTCACCGCCGCTCCTACAGGAGTAAGAGGATTAAGTCAGCAGGCGAACAATGACCGTCGCTGCTCCGCCCACCTTTTGCGTCACAATCAAAACAACCCTATAACTACAACTCCCAGAAGGCCGGGCGGCTGCACGAGCTCAACTGCACCCAGCCGTTTCCGCAAAACTACATTTCCCAAGGGGCATTGCGCGGCCGCGTCGCCTCCACTGCGCAAGTGCAGGGCTGCTCGCGTTTCCGGCGTGGGTCTGGGCCGGCCCGGCTGCAGTTGGGCTAGGGTCCTGCCCCGAAGGGCTTCTCGGTTTACCGTCGTGGGGTAGTGGCTGTGCAGGTAAGATAATAAGCTCTGGAAGGCCACCGTCGCCTCCTTGGGACATGGGCGGATTTCGTATCTGTGTCAGCTGGGACAGATGCGGGACCTAGAGCTGCGGTCCGGTGTCGGAAATAACTTCCAGGTCATTTCTCGGCGTTTTCTAGTTTCAAAGTAACATTTTCCCCCAACAATCCCTGCTGGCCCCCAGAACAATATTTTGTGTGAGGAAGTGTAAGTGCCTCCAGTTGGCAGCTGAGGAAAAGATTCAGAGAGGTTAAGTGATTTGTGTGAAGAGGACAATGATGACAAGAAGCCAACAACTAAATTTGAACTAGAGCGAGAAACAACTACGCTTTGAGGTGAAAGCATCTCAGACAGTTCAGTTGCTGAACGGAATATTGAAATGTTTTTTTTTTTTTTTTTTTTTAAGTCCAATATTGCTATTCTCTGGTTTGCATCCTGATTTTTGTTGACTAAGAGGGTTGAGGAGTAGGCACCTCTTGCCTTCTCTGGAGTATCCCAATGGAGTGATGAAGGGAGCTATGAGGTGACGTGATCAAGTGTTTTGTCGATCTGTAGATATAATTTTTAAAATATATTTTTACTGATTTCAGAGAGGAAGAGAGAGGGAAAGAGAAACATCGATGATGAGAGGGAATCATTGATAGGCTGCCTCCTGAACGCCCCCTACTGGGGATTGAGCCTGCAGTCTAGGTATGTGCCCTTGGCTGGAGTGGAAACTGGGATCCTTCAGGCCACAGGCTGACGCTCTAGCCACTGAGTCAAACCAGGTAGGGCTATAATTTTATTCTAATGTCTCAGTCATGTACTCACTCGGTGTATGTACAGAGGTGCTTGTGGGTTATCAAGCCCTATCCTGGGTACTAGAGATACAGCAGGAAACAAAAATGCCCAACCTTAGTGGCGTAGACAGATGGTGATCAGCGATAAGGAGAAAAATAAAGCAGGGTCAGGGGAAACATTCATTGGAGGATTTTGAACAGAGTTCTAACTTGTATTTAGATCTGATATTTAATTTGTGTACTAGGCACAGCAGCTACACCGAAAAGATGGGAGAGGAGTCCAATGATGACAAGAAGCCAACTACTAAATTTGAACTAGAGCGAGAAACAGAACTTCGCTTTGAGGTGGAAGCATCCCAGACAGTTCAGTTGGAGCTGCTGGCTGGCATGGCAGAGATCTTTGGCACAGAGCTGACCCGAAACAAGAAGTTCACCTTTGATGCCGGTGCCAAGGTGGCTGTTTTCACCTGGCACGGCTGCTCTGTGCAGCTCAGTGGCCGCACCGAGGTGGCTTATGTCTCCAAGGACACCCCTATGTTGCTTTACCTCAACACTCATACAGCTTTGGAGCAGATGCGGAGGCAGGCGGAGAAGGAAGAAGAGCGAGGCCCCCGGGTGATGGTAGTGGGCCCCACTGACGTGGGCAAGTCCACGGTGTGCCGCCTGCTGCTCAACTACGCAGTGCGTTTGGGCCGCCGTCCCACTTACGTGGAGCTGGATGTGGGCCAGGGCTCTGTGTCTATCCCTGGTACCATGGGGGCCCTCTACATTGAGCGGCCAGCAGATGTTGAAGAAGGATTCTCCATCCAGGCCCCTCTGGTGTATCATTTTGGATCCACCACTCCTGGCACCAACATCAAGCTTTATAATAAGGTCAGAGCCAAGGTGGGATGGAGGGTACGGTTGCTATCAGGGTAGGAAGCTTTGAAGAAGTTGCTGGTTTGTGGGAACCCCTTTCACGTCCTGCATGGTTCAGGTTTGCATGGTTCAGGGTTCGGGTTCTGGAGAAGGGCCACACACAAATTAAAGAGAGACTGGAAGAGATTTAATTTGGCGATATGGGGGTCAGGCAGGAGCCCACCTCTAGTGGGAGGACTGCCACTAGGCTCTGACCTTGTTATCCCTATTTATGTTATCAATAAAATATATATATATTATTGATTTGTTACAGAGAGGAAGGGAGAGAGAGAGAGAATTAGGAACATCAATGAGAGAGAATCACCGATCAGCTGCCTCTTGCACACCCCCTACTGGGGATGTGCCCACAACCAAGCTACATGCCCTTGACCGGAATCGAACCTGGGATCTTTCAATCCGTAGCCCGACACTCTTTCCACTGAGCCAAACCGGTTTGGGATACACCCATAGCCCTTTGGCAGGTAATAAGTGTATTATAACATCTAAGGATTTACATGATTACAAGATGGGAAAGTTTCCTCAGTTACCAGTGCCTCAATTAGATAGGGAGTGGTTGGCTCTGACCTTTCAGAGCTTCAAGGTTGACCAGCCTTTTACATCTTTCTGTTAGTGAGACAATGATCAGTTTCCGGCCACTGGTTAAAACTATAGGCATCTCTTTGCTCCTTCTCTGCAGATATTGCCATATGATTTTGGAAAAGATAGTTCCAAATATAAGTCTATCTCAGATTATTAGATGTTTCTGTGGACCTATTAAGTTATTTATTAAATTTCCACTTGGGAGACAGAAAAAGCAACATAAAAATTAAATCTGTTACGGGATCAAAACCATAGTCATTAAAAATGTTTTTCTTGTACCTAATAGTACTTATTCTAAAGGAGGACAAAATAATAGGTTTGTTCGTTTTTGTGTTTTTTTTCCTTACCTTGGTTGTCTTTTGCAGATTACATCTCGTCTAGCAGATGTGTTCAACCAAAGGTGTGAAGTGAACCGAAGAGCTTCTGTGAGTGGCTGTGTCATTAACACCTGTGGCTGGGTCAAGGGCTCTGGTTACCAGGCCCTGGTGCATGCAGCTTCAGCCTTTGAGGTAGACGTGGTTGTGGTTCTGGATCAAGAACGACTTTATAATGAACTGAAACGGGACTTGCCTCACTTTGTGCGTACTGTGCTGCTCCCTAAATCAGGGGGTGTGGTTGAGCGCTCCAAAGATTTCCGGCGGGAATGTAGGGATGAGCGTATCCGTGAGTATTTCTATGGATTCCGGGGCTGTTTTTATCCCCATGCCTTCAATGTCAAATTTTCAGATGTGAAAATCTACAAAGTTGGGGCACCCACCATTCCAGACTCCTGTTTGCCTTTGGGCATGTCTCAGGAGGACAATCAGCTGAAGCTAGTACCTGTCACCCCTGGCCGAGATATGGTGCACCACCTCCTGAGCGTCAGCACTGCCGAGGGCACAGAGGAGAACCTTTCTGAGACCAGTGTGGCCGGTTTCATCGTGGTGACCAGTGTGGACCTGGAGCACCAGGTGTTTACCGTTCTCTCTCCAGCCCCTCGCCCACTGCCGAAGAATTTCCTTCTCATCATGGATATCCGGTTCATGGATCTTAAGTAGAATCAGGGAGTCTTGCTCTCTGGGGTACGGAGATCTCTGGCCATCACCAGAGACAGATGGGCTGAAGAGTGAGAGTCTGTTAAGGCCAGTAAATGGTGGACCAGTAAAAAGCATGTATTCTACCTCTTAAAACGGGTGATGCTAACTTAACTACTAATCTTGAAACAAAAGAAAAACCACGAGACTATAATTGGTTTCTTAGATCACCTAAGGTGCCACTTCAAATTCTCTAGGCCCTGGAGAATCCCATTTCTTTCACTGTGCTACTATGTGGACTCATTTTTTTTTAAAAAAACCCACTGCTTTGTATACATTATATAGTATTTGTTACCTTATTTTTCCAGGATGTGCGAGTGTATTAGAAGGACTCTTTAAAGTTCAAACTTGGAAAAAATTTTAATAAATATTTTTGCCATATCACAGAAGTTGGTATAATTTTTTTTTCTTCCTAAGAATTATAGAAACATTATTAGAATGACTTATTGCTGAATGCTTAGAAAAGGGGAAAACAAAGAGCTCACCTATAAGCCAAGCAGGTAAATAGGTGCTAACTAACTCTGTTCTCTGTGCAGAAGGATAACTATGAGGAGCCAAAGAGGCTAGTAATAAACTTGGGCTGAGGATTCAAATCTAATAACTTTCCAGAGATCATTTTCTCCCAGGTGCAATTATCTTTCCTATTGTCTATTTGCTTGGAATCAGAATCTAAGTCAAAGTGTAAATTGAGCTTTCAGGTAATAAGCCGGGAAAGCCCATTCTCTGATCTGCAAATGCTTGGTGTTCCTAGTTTGGACTTGGATTACTGAATAAGTATCTGATGCCCTTCATCTGTTCATTGTTTCCACAAGTATTTATTGAGCACCTACTGTTTGCCAGGAACCATTCTAGATGGGGAACAAGATAAAGTCTTATGGAGCTAACATCATAAAACAAACACAAAAAACAGTGCTATTCAAAGATTTAAAAATGGGTGATATGGGACAGTGACTGAGAGGCTACTTTAGACTGGGGTGGTCAGGAGAAGCCTCTCCTGAGTTAAGAACTGAATGGTGCACAGCTAGTGTGGCTCAGTGGTTGAGACTTGACCAAGAGATTGCTGGTTGATTCCTGGTCAGGCCACATGCTTGGGTTTCAGGGTCAATCCCAGCAGGGGATGTGCAAGAGATAGCAGATCAATGTTGTTGCATTGCTGTTTCTATCTCCCTCTCCCTTCTCTAAAATCAATAAAAACGTATTTAAAAAAGAGGGAAATTAAAAAGAGAGGGAGACTTGAATGGCTGTGCAAAATTTGGCCAAAATCTAGGTTGAGGGAACAGTGCAAAAACAAGGTAAAAGCTCAAATATGTTTGGTGAAGGAAAGGTCTGCTTGGCTGGAGTATAGTGAATCAAGGGGAGCGAGGTAAAAATTGAGGGGGAGGGAGCACTAAGATAAAATAACGTAGGGCTTTTGTAATCCCAGAGCAAAGGGAAACAATGGGTAAAGATGTGTATTTTAGTCCTTTAGAACTGCTATAACAAATATTACCATCTGCGTAGTTTACAAATACTAGAAACCTCACAGTGCTAAAGTCCAAGATCAAGGCACCAGCATGGTTGTGTTCTGATAGAGACTCTCTTCCAGGTTGCTAATTGCCAACTTCTAACCTGTGTCCTCATGTACTGGAAGGGGTAAGGGAGCTCTATGGAGGCACTTTATGCATGACCTAAGCATAAGGTCATGCATAAAGTGAGGCCCCATTCCTAATACAGTCATCTTTGGGGGTTAGGATTTCAATATATAAATTTAGGGGGACAAACATTCATACCATAGCAGATAATTAAACAGGAATGACATGATCTGGGTTACATTTTTAAAAGATAATTACTGTGTGGAAAATGGATTAAAGAGGTAAGAGTAGAGAAGCAAGGACACAAGTTAATTTCAATGAGAAAATTGGTGGGGAATTAAGAGTATGGCAGCAGCCCTAGTTAGTTTGGCTCAGTGGATAGAGCATCAGCCTGCACTGAAAGATCCTAGGTTCAATTCTGGTCAAGGGCACATTTCCCCGTTGTGGTCCCTGGGCTCAATCCCAAGTATGGGGTGTGCAGGAAGCAGCCGATCAGTGATTCTCTGTCATCATTGGTGTTTCAATCTCTCTCCCTCTCGTCATCTCTGAAATCAATAAAAATATACTTAAAAAAAAAAAGTCTGGCAGCAAAGGTGGAGTTGGTGAGTAGATTGCCTGGGAATATTTTGGATGTAAAGTTGACAGGCTTGCTGATGGGAGCAATAAGGAAAAGAAACTGGAATCAAAGATGATTCCTAGCCGAGTCAGTGCTGTGTTGACCTATGAACCAGGAGGTCATGGTTGGATTCCTGGGCACATCCTGGGGTTTGGAGCTCCATCCCCAGTAGTGGTGTGCAGGAGGCAACCAGTTAATGATTCTCCTCATTGATGTTTCTATCCCTCTCTCCCCTCCCTTCCTCTCTGTAATCGATACAAAGATATATATATATATATATATATATATATATATATATATATATATATATAGTGATTGCTACATTTTTTTTACTTGAGCAACTTTGACTGTGAGATTGGGGAAACTCAGGGAGGAGGTAAGGGAATATCAAGTTCTACTTTGGCACTTAAATTTGGGCTATGACTCATTCATATGGAGATGCCACATAGACAGCTGGAAACATGAATCTGGAGGGTTAGGGTTGAAGGTTCATGGGAGCTATGGTCCTATAGAAGGCATTTAAAGCAGTGGTATTGGATGAAGTCACTTAAAGACTGGAAATCAGAAGGCAGATGGACTTTCAGGGTACTCCAAAAAAAGAGGTGAAGTGTAATGGCAGCAAAGGAGACTTGACTATGAATCTGGAGGCATGCATTTCAGCAGTAATGTTGAAGAGTGTAGCCTTGGAATAGTGGGGATAAAAGTCCTATTGGAATATACTGAGATATAATCTGAATAAATATGTATAACCACTATAGACAACTCTTTGAAGAAGCTTGGTAAGGAAGGGAGTCAAGGGAGAGTAATTTTTTTTGTGTGTGTGTATGTATGTGTGTGTGTGTGTGTGTGTGTGTGTGTGTGTTTAGATAGAATGTCTCTCAGCATAACAGACTCAAAAGGGAGAGGATTTAATGATGGACATGGTATGTTCTTGACACTATCATATTTTTCTGTATTTCATTTTTCAAATAAAATATCAAAGAAAAAATTCAGAAGATATTGCAAGAGTGAAGGGGAGAAACTGTCCTTTAACACAAGCAGAGACATTTCATGAGGACAGGAGGGAAGGTGGCAGTATTTAAATATAAAGAGATGGTTGGTGCTGAAAGATTAGTCATTTCTCACTAATTGAGTCTAAACCCAAGGGTAGCATTTTGTTCTTGTCTGCCTTTTTATTTGCCAGTGAGTTGAACTAAAAATGACCCTGTGGTTTGCCATCTATAGGCATGAGGGAATACAAGTGAAGATAATTTTTAAAAGTATGGGTAAACTACACTAGAAACATCATAACAGTATTTTTTTATTTTAAATTTACCTTTATTTTTGAAAGTATTACAAATGTCCTCCCTTCCTCCTTCTCTTCCAGTAACCCTCCTCCCCCATGCCTTCACCGAATTCTTGTCTGTGTTTGTGGGTTGTGGGTTATGTATATATGCATATTAAGTTCTTTAATCTCTTCCCATCCTACTCTTCACCCCCACCCTCCTCTGAGATTTGTCAGTCTATTCCATGCTTCATATCTCTGGGTTTATTTTGTTTATTAGATTCCACATAAGAGTCAGATCATGTGATACTTTTCATCTTTCTCTGACTGGCTTTTTTCACTTAGCATAATACTCTCCAGGTCCCTCCATGCTGTCTCAAAGAGTAAGAAATTTTATAGCTGTGTAGTATTCCCATTGTGTAAAAGTAATCCATCTTTGATCCACTCATCTACTGATGGGCACTTGGGCTGTTTCCAAATCTTAGCTATTGTAAATAGTGTTGCTATGAACATAGGGGTGTATATATTCTGAGTGGTGTTTCAGGATTCTTAGGAAATATTCCTAGAAGTGGGATCACTGGGTCAAATAGCAGTTCCATTTTTAATTTTGTTGAGAAAACTCCATACTGTTTTCCATAGTGGCTGTACCAGTCTGCATTCCCACCTGTTTTTTCCCCCCCCTCTCTCTACCCACTTTTATTTTATTTATTTATTTATTTATTTATTTATTTATTTATTTATTTATTTATTTAATGGATTTAAGAGAGAAAGGAAAAGGAAGAGAGAGATAGAAGCATCAATGATAAGAGAGAATCATTGATCAGCTGCTTCCTGCAAGCCCCACGCTGGGGTTTGAGACTGCAGCCCAGGCATGTGCCCTTGTCCGAAATTGAACCTGGTACCTTTCAGTCCTCAGGCCGATGCTCTATCCACTAAGCAAAACCAGCTAGGGCTGTAAGGTATTTCTTGATATACAAAGTAATTTATTGGAAGTTTGGTGGTCTAGATATCCCACTGTTTTAACCTGGATTATATTGTGCAATACTTTTCAGAAATGGCTGGCAGTTTAAACCTTATGTTCTATTAAACAACCTTTCCAGGAAATATGTTGCATGCTCCTAGGGAAAACTGGACAAGAACTTGGAATCTCCAAACCTTGGGATAGTAATTGTGCCACTGTTAGTGCTCATCCAGATAAAGAGTTTGGCATCCAGTAGTCAGTGTCCCAGGGGAATTTAGAATGTGTGGTTGGACGGTGGAAGATCGAATTTTTATTTCCAGTTAGCACTGTAGAGACAAGATACAAAGCAATGTATAGGTTGCAAGGAAAAGAGAGATGCTTAATCTATGAATTTGGGGAAATTCGAAGTCTTGAAATCCAAGAAAAATATGCAAGAGAAAAAAATGAAATTGACTTCTTCCTAAGGAAACAAATCAACCTGACAGAAAAGCATCAATAAATAAAAAAATTATGCTATCCAGGAATAACTTTACTTCGTAAGGTCAAAAGAAT